TACCTATTCTTCTTAGGTTTTGCCTTTTTATAGTGTCTCATATTTCCTGGATATTTTGTGTTAGGGATTTCTTGGATTTAAGATTTTCTATGGTCGATGAATCTATTTTTCCTAGTGTATTTTCAATGCCTGAGATTCTCTCTCCCATTTCTTGGTTATGCTTATATCTGTAGTACCTGATCATTTGCCCAGCTTTTCTATTTCCAGAATTACCTCAGACTGTGGGTTTTTTTTGTTGTTGTCTCCATTTCAGCTTTCAACCCTTGCACTGTTTGAATTGTTTCTTGCAATTTTTGCTTTGTGTTTTCCTTCATTTCTTGAATTTTTGATTTATTTTTTCTTCCATTTCTTTAAGAGATTTTCTCATATCCTCTTTGAGGGCCTCTATCATTTTCATGAAATTGTTTTTAAGGTCATTATCTTCTGCTTCATCTGTATTGTGATGTTCAGGTCTTGCTGGTGTACAGTCTCTAGACTCTGGTGATGTCATATTGGTTTTTCTTTTGCTGAGTGTGTTTTTATATTGTCTCCTTCCTGTCACTCCTTCCAGTGGGTGCAGAAGGAGTCTCTTCTTGTCCTGGTGGGTAAAGGACCAGGATTCCCTTTTGGTGGGTGTGAGCAAGTCCAATACTCTGGTGGCTCTCCTCTTCCCGTGGATGGAAACTGTCCTAGTACTGGGACCTTGGCAGTCTCAGTGTGAGCTGGACCCTGTCAGAAAGGGATCAGCAGCACTCAGTCCCCCTGCCTAACCTGGTTGTGCTCAGGGCACAGGAAGGTGGGCTGGAAACAGGCGTGAGCTTACCTCACCTGTCCTATGGTTGGAGAAAGGGGCCAGGATGCTGGCAGTTTCTTGGTAGGTTGGCTCCTGCTGGGATGGGAATGGCAGTGCACAGTCTCCAGGCCTCAACTGGTTGTGCACAGGGCACCAGACAGTGTGTTGGCTCCCACTAGGATGGGAACCACAGTGCTGGATATAAATTTTATCACTAGTTTTAAAATGTAATTATAACCATTATGTTTTTATGTACAATATCTGTTAATTGTTACAGATTTACACTTCAGTTGATGGATTATTATAGTTTATTTGCACATAGTTGTTTGCATGTAGTTTATTTATTTTTGTATTCAGTGTAGAATTTTGAGCACTTTCAGTCATGATAAGTTTCTTCAAAGTGCAAGTAGAAATTTATACAAAGGAATGAATCCTGTTTTGGTAGTAATAAAGACCCAAATCCATGGCTCTTAGCTGTGGCATTGAAGAGCTAAGTATAGATTTTCACAAAACAACATTTACAAGCAACTTATAGAATAACCACCTCCCACCAATTTGACAAGTCTTTAGCCAGTCTGAACTAGGAGTAGCTTGAGCATAGGAGACCTCAAAGCCTGCCCCACAGTGATGCACTTCCTCCAACAAGGTCACACCTACTTCAGCAAGGCTACTTCTCCTAATAGTTCTCCCTATGAGCTTATGAGGGCAAATTACATTCAAACTACTAGATTCTACTTCCTGCCCCCCATAAGCTTACAACAGTATAATAATGAAAAATGCATTTAGTCCAACTTCAAAGTCCCCATAATCTATAGCAGTCTCATCAATGATTAAAAGTCCAAATCTTTTCTGAGATTCATGCAATCTCTTGACTGTAATCCACTATAAAAACAAGATAAACAGATCACACACTTATATAATGGCCCAGGCTATATATTACCATTACAAAATGTAAGGAAGGGAGAATAGTGAGGAAATTCTGAACCAAAGTAAAACCAAAACCCAGCTGGGTGAACTCCAATCTCTGCATCTCCATTTCTGATGACAAAATGCTCTTCAGATCTCCAACTCCATTCAGCTTTGTTGACTGCAGCGCATTTCTTTCTCTTGGGCTGATCCCATTCCATATTAGCAACTTTCCTTAGCAGGTATTCAACAACTCTGGCATTTCCAACATCTTGGGCTCTTCTAAGCAATCCAGGCTTAAACTTCACAGCTTTACACAATGACCTCTCTGGGCCTCCATTCAGAACACCCCAGACATATGCCTCACTTAAGCAGATTTCCATAGTCATAGAGGGAGATTCCTTATCTACTTTCTTCTATCTTTGAACCATGTGGCTGAAGCTGTTAAGTTCTGCTTGCTAGGGCTGAAACATGCCCCCATTGTTCAATTATATCTTCACTAGTTTTCTGTTTTCAGTGGTGCCCTTCACTGCCTAAGCATGGCTGTCCTGGAACTTGATCTGTAGACCAGGCAGGCCTCAAATTCAGAGATCTGCCAGACTCTGCTTTACAAATGCTGGGATTAAAGACATGCAGTACCACTCCAGGGTCTTACCTTTTATTTAATTCCTTTTCACAAGTTGGAAACATAGCTGGGTGGACCTTGCCATGAGGTCACCACTCCCTTTATTCCATTTATTAATCTGTTTATCTCTTTGAACACATGGCTTAGCTCCATTCCATTTCCTGGTGTTCCTTTTCTCCTCACATTTTACATTTTGTATTTTTACTTTCTCAACTTGCTTCTTTTCATTATAAATATTCATAATAATAATAATAATAACCATAAAATAGAGTCGATACTAGACTCTTTTGCGATTTCCTCTTCCAGTGAAATTAATCTAAAATTCTTCACTTTAGTCTCAGTAAGACTTTTTGCACAAGGGTAAAATGCAGTCACATTCTTCACCAAAGTGTCACAAGAACAATCTCTAGGCAACATACTAAATTCTTTTCCTCTGAAACATCTTGAACCAGGCCCCCACAGATCATCAAATCATACTTGTCTCCACTGTCTTCCAAGCTCATACTAGTATGGACCATTAAACAGCACTTATTAATGCATTCAACTGCTTTTCTAATTCACAGTCCTAAGGCCCATATTTTTTCAAAAAAAAAAAAAGGCATGGTCAGGACTATCACATCAATACCCCACTTCTGGTACCAACATCTGTCTTAGGGTTACTATTTTAATGAAAAGACACAATGTCCATGGAAAAACATTTGATTGAGGTGGCCTACATTTTCAGAGGTTCAGTCCATTGTCATCATGGTGGAACATGTTAGCATACAGGCAGCCCTGGTGCTGGAGCAGGAGCTGAGAGTTAATATATCTTAACTTTCAGGCAACAGGAAGTGATCTGAACTAGGCATAGCTTGAGCATGGGAGACCTCAAAGCCTGCCCCCAACTGTAACACACTTCCTCCAACAAGACCACAGCTACTTCAACAAGTTCACATCTAATAGTACCATTCCTTATGAACTTATGGGGTCCAATTACATTCAAACTACCTTATACCTACCTTACAATTAAAGTTGGTATGTATAAAATGCTGGTAGTCACACTCTAGGTCAACCCCAGTTGATACAGTCTCCATGCTTATTCTGTATTTCATCCCTGTAACAGAATTCAAAATAGCTTAAGCTCAGCAAGCTACAGAAAAGCACACAAGAAACAAAACTAAGTAGAATCAGAACCTGAAAATAAAAACCAGAAACTTAGCAATGAGAAAACTTTAAAAATACTAATCATAAATTATGAAGTTTGTTAAATGTTACAAAAATAATTCCACAGAAATCTGCAATAGATGATCAAGCAGGAAAAGATGTGGTGAGCTCAAGGACAGGTTATCTGAATTTTCCCTTTGGAGACACAAAAGAAAAAATAAAGAAGAAAATTTATTTTTAACCTTATAAGACTTACAGAATACCTCCAAGTGAGCCAAGATGTAAAATATGGAAATCTGGAGACATAAAACTGAAGGGAACAGAAACCTAAAAGAAATGACAGAAAACTTCCTAAATATGGAAATAAATCCTCTAAGTCCAAAGCTCCACATGTAGGTAGGTATGAGGACAGACTTTCTGAAGTAAAAGAAGAATTTGAAAGCAAGAGAACAACAACTCCATCCAAAGGGTTTCTCCATGAAGCCACCAGTAAGATGTGTCAGAGAGGAAGGACCGAAGCTCTATGCACAACCAGAAAATAGCATGATAGTGGTAAATCCTTACTTATTTACTGTCAGTGCAAATGAATTAACCATTTAATAAAAAGGCATGGAGTGCCTGCATGTATAAAAAGCAAGCTTCATTTCATTCTCTCGTTAAGAGACTTACCTTGATTACAAGGATAACATATGGTCTGCAAGTGAGTAGGAAAAAACATTCCAGGCAGTAGAAACATGGTAGTACATAGACAAAATAGACTTTAAGTAAAAAAAAAACACAAAAATTATTAATGAGACTAAATGCTATTGTGTAATTGTGTTAATTTATCAAAAGATAAAACATATGTATTCAACAATGAATCAGAGATAGAGAACAATCCAATAATGGGGAGGGTGTTCAGTAGTGTTCTTTAAAAATGCATCATTCAAATAGAAAATGAAAGGAAACTGCTTTGGATAGTACTTAAACTAAATTAACCTAATAACATATAGAACATTTATAAAGCACAAAAACTTCACACAGGAGGCAAAAGTTATCGACATTGAAAATTAAAACACAGATGAAAGGGTCTGAAGTAAAGCAATGTGGAAAATCCCTCATGTTCATGGGCCAGTGAGTAATATTCAGATGGCCACACTATCCGCAATTATTTATAGAGTCAACACAGTCCCACTAAAATTCTAAATTTATTTCCACGATCTGAAAATTTAATATTAAAATACATACACTTTCTGCAATTGTCTAGAGCCAACGCAAATTCTGCCAAAATTCTAAAGGCAATTTTCCTGGAAGTAGAAATTTCTAAAATTTAAATAGGACCATAAAAACCTTCCTTGAATAGCCAAAAGCAGCCTTAATCTCAAGAACAAAGATAGGAGTATAAGATTACCTAATTTTGATATATAATACTGATCTTTAGTAATCAAATGTAGTAATGCAATGTAATAATGTAAGTAGATATTTAGATCAATTGATGGAATATAAAATATCAGTCATAAATAACCAATGCAGTCAGTAGATTGCATAGCTTTCTAGAATCTTTGAGATAGAACTAAAGACAATCTAAGGAGAAATCCATAGCTATGAATGCTTGAATTAAAACATTGAGATTACCTCAAATTAATAATCTAATGATGTACCTCAAGAACTTAGAAAAACAACAATCCAAACTCCAAGAGCAATAGATGCCAAGAAATAATAATAAAATGAAAACTGAATGGATGATATATGGAATCCACTGAGAAACCCACAGCCAATCCAACAAAAAGAAGGCAAGAAAGAAGATCCAAAGTAGTAAATCTGGAGATGAAAGAGATTACTATAGATTAAAATAATATCTCAATAATCATTAGGGTGTGTTTTCAAAATTTACATTCCAAACAACTACATAACAAAGAAAAAAATTGATGAATTCCTAGATGTATAACTTACCAAAATTAGATCAAGGAGAAGCAAACATATCAAGCAGAACCATAACAACCTCATTAGATTGAGCAGTAATAAAAAATCAACCAAAGTTCAGGATTCACTGCAGTATTCTATCAAACCTTTAAGGGAGAGCTAATACCAATGCTTTCTTGAACCGTTTAATAAAATAGGGAAAAAACACAGCCAGACTCATCCATGAAGCCAAATTTGCACAAAGACACAACAGCATGAAGAAAGAAATTGTAAATCAATTTTCTTGATGAGAAAAGTCACAAAATTTCTGAATAAAACAAGTAAAATGCATTCAAGAACAGATTAAGATGGCATTAAAAAAAGTTGGTTTCATTCCACAGAAGCAAGTTTGTTTCAATATATGCAAATTAACATATATATAAATAATATTATGTGTAGGACTATATTCATATCTTTAGGAAGGGAAACCACATTGTTACTTTAATTAATGCAGAAAAATTCTTTTATACATTTCAATTTCCCTCCATAATAAAACCTTCAATGAAATGGAGATAGAAGGAACCTATATTAACATAGTGAATGTTACAAAAAGAAACCATGTGTAACATACTGAAAATGGAAGAAACCTTTAGTCTTCAAAAATGTGAGATGAAACAAGAATGTCTACTCTCTCAACTATCACTCAGTATAGTGTTCAGAATTTTAGCTAGGGCAATAATATCAAGAGATAGAAGGAATATAAATAGGGAAGGAAGAAGTCAAATTATTCCTTTTTGCAAATATCATTTTATACTTAAAAGGTTCCCCCAGAAACTATTAGAACTCATAAATAATTCTATCAAACTAATAAAGAACAAAATCAATATTTAAAACAGTATCTTTTCTACATACTAGTAGTGAACTTGAAAAAACAGGAATCAGAAAAACCACATTCATAATAGCTTTTTAAAAATCCTCTAAACAAACTGAACCAAGGAAGTGTAAGAACTCCAAATGAAAAGTTGAAACATTGAGGAAAGAATTTGAAGACATTAAAAGATGGAAAACTCTCCCAGGCTCATGTGTTAGCAAAATTAATGCTGTACAAGCAATTATATTAATCAAAAGAGAAATGTCCTTCAATATCTCAATGACAGTGTTCATTGAACTATAAAACCACCGTAAATCCATATGGAAGCACAAGATCTTGAGAATAGCAAGAGCATTTTTTGTGCAAAAATTTTTTATGCTGGAGTCATCACAATGTTATCTCAAATTATATTACTGAGCCTTAGTAACAAAAAGCATGTAGCACAGGCAGAAAAACAGATACATAGATCAGTTGAGTAAAATAGAAGAACACAAAAACACACTAGTATGACCGTCTAATTTTTTGACAAACGTATCAAAAACAAACAAAAATAAAGGGTACTGGTAAAATTAGAATTCCCTGTGTGGATAAATGAAATGAGGTCCACATTTGTCATCCCACATGGAAAAGCAAGTAAAAAAATAATCAAAGACCTTAGTATGAGTTCAGAAACCTTGAAACTTCTAGAGGAAATCACACATGAAAATTTAAGAGGTCAAAATACAAGATTCCCAGGTCAGTTCCAGCTCAATTCCTCCAAGTCCTGTGTCCTAAGTCAATGATGTCTTCAAAAGTAGTGTCTTAGTTTTAAGTTCTAAGAGACAACGATGGGCAGAAATAGCTTGTATTGTGTTTGAAGTCTCTCAAACTCCCCTGATCAACAATTCCAATGAAGACTCCACATGCCTGGTACTAGGGTTTCTCTTAGATAGTGTATGGCCTTGGGGGACATTATCCCTCCAAGTAGTGTAACTTCATTTAAATTATTTATGTATGCATATACTCACACTTATATATTTTAAAGTAAACAGAAAATAATCAACCTTAATGTTTTTTGTACCCCTTCCTCTCTTTCCCTCTGTTTTGCCTTCCTTTCCACTCCCCAACTAAGAATCCTCCTGTTTTGCCTATGTTCCCCTTCAGAGCAACTCTACCCTACAGTGCCCCTCTTCCACTCACCACGATCCTTTTTTACTTTCCCTGTTTCTGTGGCAGGACACATCACCTAAATAAGGCTTGCACAATGCCAACAAGAGCTGATGTGCCAATGTGGATGGGGAAATCTCATGAGGCCCCCACTTTAGATGAAGTCAATTATTGATGGCTGCTAAGAGAAGGAGAATCAGTCTTCTCCATGGATGAGCCACATGATTGGTTACTCAGTCTCCAGTGGATAGCCCTAAATATGTAACACTAAATATACTCAGTAGGTTCTATTTAATTATGCTTACATTTAAATGTAATAATGATGATTAAAGAAGAGGTCATGAATTTGAGAGAGTAGGGGAGCATGGGAGGAGTTGGAGTGGGAGAGAGAGTGGGGTGGAAATGATGTAAATATAGTGTTTATGTATGGAAATTCTCAAAAAAAACTATGAAAACAGTACTTAAAAACCTGGAGTGTTCCAGAAAGGCCCCAAGAGTGATGATAATAATCCAAAGAGCCGCCAAGTGGAATTCTATGAGATTGAAAAGCTTCTACACAGCCAAGGAAGGAATAACCAGAGTGAAGAGACAGCTTACAGAGTGGGAAAAATGCAACCACACTTCAAATTGAGGACAAATACCTAGAATATATGAAATTATTATTGAATCACCCATAAAATAACATAAGGGAAGTGGAATGGGAGCCTTTGGAGTGTCTTATGAAGGCACTAACCTAATTTACAAAGGCTCTGTCCCTGTGGCCCGATCTGTAGAGGTCACAGGGTTCTTGTGCTCACAGATAGCACTAGGGAAACTGGAAATGTTAAACACAAGGGGCTGTTCCTTAGAAGGAAGAGGTGTATGACCTGCTTTCTTCCCAGAAGGCTGGAAATGGATGTGCTAATAGCCTGGTGACCTCGTCTTTGCCTACATGAATCACTATGTACTGTGTGTGCAGTGCCTATGGAGTGTAGAGGAGCAACTGTTTCTCTGGAAATGGAGTTACAGTCAGTTGTGAGACACCGTGTAGATGCTGGGAACTGAATCTCGTCCTTCCTCTGCAAGAGAAACAGATGCTCTTAACCACTGAGCCATCTTACTAACCTCCACAGTTGTTTTGAACATTCCTATATCATACATTTACTCAGTTGGATGTTCCTTATTGGCTTTTTAATATAATCCTTTGTGTTTGTTTCCCACAGACATGAAGCCATTATCATCTCAGGAACTGAAATGGCCAAACAAATTCAAAAAGAAATCCAGCAAGGTGTGGAATCATGGATTGCTCTCGGGAACAGGAGGCCCCACCTCAGTATCCTTTTAGTGGGAGATAACCCAGCAAGCCACACCTACGTCAGGAAGAAGATAAAAGCTGCTTCCGCTGTCGGTGGGTATGCGTGTGAGCTGTAATTGTTACCAAATGTTTCTGTTATCATATAAAGTTACACAATCATGATTGATAATTATCAAATAACACCATCCAAATAACATGTACTATTGTTATTTTTATGTATTATTCCATTACATAAGCTTATATGACTGTCTTACTGTTTTCAGGTCTCTTATAGGATTATTTCAGTGTGATTTCATATTGTATGGGCAAGGCAGTAGGACGCTTTGCTTTTAATGACCCTGGGTTTATTGTACTTGCTTTAACTGAATCAGACTTCTCTGTTTTCCAGCCTCACTTGGTCTCTTCAAATCTACTAAGAGGGGTTTTCACAAGTCAGTGCAAGCTGTCTCCTGGAGCAATAGCCAAACGATGCCTAGGAATCAGGAGAGAATCCCTGTAGTGACCGAGAAACCCCTCCTCCCGGTGATTAGAACACTGACCATCTAGAAGGGCTTTCCTTCCAGTTGGGCAGGATCAGAGGAGACCAGACACACACTGGAGAAGCCAGCTGCCACAGCAAATTGAAGTGACCTTCTTGCATGGCTTTCTTCCAGGTATCTGCAGTGAACTCATTCTAAAGCCAGAGACTGTTTCTCAGGAGGAGCTTTTGGATGTCACTGATCAACTGAACATGGACCCAAGAGTCAGTGGTATCCTAGTTCAGCTACCCCTTCCAGGTGTGTGACGTGAGTTTATGGCTTGGCCAGGAGAAAGGGCACATCATGGCACTGGAGACAGTCTGTAAAGCACATTCAGAAGTCGACCAGCTGTTTTCTTAGTGCTGTAGTAACAGCTCACAGTTTCTTAAAGATTTATACTTACAAGATGAAAAACTGTGACTGGAAAATTTAGGTGTGGCATGTTAATCTCACAGAAACACACCATAGAATGGTCATTCCAGGGGTTGAGGACTCGGGGGGTGTGTATGAGGTACTGGCCAAAGAATTTAAAACTTTGGTTAGATATGACAAAAAAAAACCCTTCTAGAGACCTATTGCACAACATCATGAGATAGTAACATATTGCCACAAAAGCAGATTTACACAATCTTACCACATAGAAGGAAATATATGATGTTGTCATTAGATTGAGGTAGCCGTTACATAAAATATGCACATGCCACATCATATTACATACTATAAATACATATAATCTTCATAATTAAAAATAATTTAGAGTCATTTTCCAAACCATTATATTTTTCTTTGTCAGAGTTTCTAAGCAATTATATTTATTTTGTCCTAACAAAGACAAATTTGTAGCTACATGTTGCCTTTGTGACCAATGTTTACTTGGTGACTTTTTTACTAGTGACCACTAGATGGCACTTGTTATCTATCTGTACCACAGACAAAATGCTTGAGTTCTCTGAGAATAAGAAACAGGTAAGGGGAACCCCAGCCAATGTAAGGGTGGTCCAAGGGACGGTATTTTTCTATATGTGAAGTCAATTATATGTACAGAAGATACAAGTAGTCAGCACCCACTGAACTAAGTCTTTGTTATATGAAAATTTTGTGCTTAATAATTCAGTTTGAATCCTCATGATAATGCTGCAGGGATGACAGCATCATGATGTGTATTTGGTGACAAGAACACAGAGACACATACCTTTCAAGTAACCAAATCTGGATTTAGGCAGACTGAAACCCAATGCTAATATTTTTTCATTATTTTTTATTACATTTTTTAAGAGAAGAGCTTGCTTCACATGTCAATCCCAGCTCCCTTTCCCTCCACTCCTCCAGCACCCCCTCACCATTTCCCCCAGCCTCCCACCCTATCCCCACTCCCTTCCATATAGGGGATATCCAGAGTCTGTCATTTCACTCAGGGCAGGGTCCAGGCACTCCCCCCGAGAGTCCAGTCTGAGAGAGCATCCCTCTTTGTGTTATGGACACATGATGTCCGTTTGTGATGCCAGGGATAAACACTGATGTACTGCCCAGGACCCCATAGGTTGCCCAGGCCTCCTCACTGACTCTCACACTCAGGGGTTCTTGATCAGTCCCATGCTGGCCTCCAGCTGTCAGTCTGGGGTCCAAGAGCTCCCCCTTGTTCAGGTCAGCTGTTTCTAGCCCATTCTTAGCCCATTTGCTCATCACTCCTCTCTCTCTGTCACTGGGTTCCAGGGATTCAGTTCAGTGTTTAGCTATGGGTGTCTGCCTCTGCTTCCATCAGTCACTGGATGGAGGTTCTAGGATGGCATATAAGGCAGTCGGCAAACTCATTATCAGGAATGGGCATTTAAAGTCGTCTCTCCACTATTGCTTAGCTTGCCAGTTGCTGTCATCCTTGTAGATCGCTGGAGGTCTACTACTGCCAGATCTCTCTTCAAAACTATAATGACTCCCTCTATTATAGCATTTCTCATCCTGTTCTCCCCCCTATTATTAACATAAACCAATGCCAATATTTTAACCATTGTTGATACATTTCCAGGAAATCAGTATAAATTAATGGGTAATGTATATATTTGAAGTGTATGCATTCATGTTATACCTTTTAATATTCAGGGAACATTAGAACAGGTTGGTTTTATAATGAAATTGTCTGGACTTGAGTCTTGGTCCTGACATTCACTAGTAGGTAATAATGGTCACCTCTTAGTCTCAGTGTTTCCATCTGGTGAGTGGTGAAGATGCTGCCTGCTTTAGAAGGGATTTCTAACGTTATATAAAATAATCAGCATAAAGGAGGACTTGACACATAATATTACTTTTTTTTTACTCTGAGGTTGTTTAGCACAGAAAAATAGAGAATGTTTGCTAATGGCTGAGGAACAAACACCCTGCAGTGTTTGTTTTGCTATTTAGAGCACATCCTCAGATAAGCATTCTTCTCTGTCATTCTTTTTCTGTTTGCCACTTTTTTTTCCAGTTTAAATTTAGATAAGAAACAAGGCTGCTTCACAAGTCAGTTCCAGGTCCCTCTCCCTTTCCCTCCCCTCCTCCCGTACCCTCCCGCCAACCTCCCCCCCCCTGTTTTCCCCTCATTCCCCCAGAGAGGGTGAGGCCCTCAATGAGGGTGTCCATAGTCTGTCATTTCATATAGGGCAGGGCATAGATCCTTCCCCAAGAGTTCAGGGTGAGAGTGCACCTCTCATTGTTTGATGGGAGTCCAAAGTCCGTGTGTATACTTGAGATGGGTACTGATCTGCTGCTCAAGGCTCAATAGATTACCTAGGCCTCCTCACTGACACCCGCATTCAGGGGGTCTTGATCAGTCCCATGCTGGATTCCCAGGCTGATGCCTTGGATTCAAGAGTTAACCTTTGTCTGGTCAGCTGTTTCTGGGGGTTAAACCAGCCCAGTCTTAATCCCTTTGATCATCAGTCCTCCCTCTCTGATACTGGCTTTCTTGAGTTCAGCTCAGTACTTAACCGAGGGAGTCTGCCTCTTGTTCGATCAGCCACTAAATGAAGTTTCTGTTTCCCAGACTCTCTGGCCATAGGATTGTAGGCTGGCACTCCCCAGATCTATGTCTAAAATCCATATATGAGAGAGTACATGCCATGTTTCTCTTTTTGTGACTGGGTTACCTCACTCAGGATGGTTTCTTCTAGTGTTAAATTCTGATTTATTTTGTGCGTAGAACTCAATCTGATATTATTTGTCACTGTTAAATCTTTTAGAATTAGGTTTTCAGAAAAGACACCAAAGGAATAGTAGGCATAGGAACCAAAAGGAAATTTAAGACAGGTTGAAACAGGAATAGCGATGGGTTAATAGATAGATTATTTGTGTCATGGTCATAACTTTTGCTTTTTGTGACAGTTTTGTATATACCTAAGTTATGATGAAACAAAGAATTCACTAAAATTTGGGTATTTGGGGGTTGATAGCGAGATTGTGTTGTGAAAGGGCTGGCTCCATTGGTTAAATTCTGTGCAAATGTGACAATCTAATTTGGGTCCCTGTCTCCTATGTAAAAAGCTGGGTGTGATGGTGCTTGCCTGTAACACTAGCACTGGGGAGCAGAGGGAGACCCATGAGCTTAGTCACTGGCTTAATTTCCCAAACCTGCAAACTCCTATGCTCTTATTCATTGAGAATCTAGTTCACAAGGTGAGAAAGTGACAGGGCAAAATACCTAAGTGACAGGGCTTCCACACATATGGACACATACACATGAATACAACACACACACACACAGACAAGCATGCATGCACATAGGCATACACACAATACATTAAAAATGAATATCAACAACAACAAATTATTGTTATAAGCTGTGAATTATGGTTAATTCAATTTAAGATTAATTTAAAAACAATAGAGAAGAACCTTTGTGCTGCAAATAATTTCAACATGATTTCTATGATACCATTCTCACAATCTTATAATCTTATTTATCTACTTTAAAATTTTGTAGGTAGCTTTTTAATGAAGTATAAGACAGGAAAAAAGGCAGACAACTGTCCTGTAAGCAGAATGTATTTTTCACTAGATGGCAGCATTGAGCAAGAACCTTTTACAACTATGTTAGCACTTTGTGGGGCTAGTCACTGAGATGATTTGTTTCTTCCAGGGATTTGTTTGTCTCTGTAGCCACTAATGTCTCTCTCCATTCATGCCTGGGTGGAAGCCAACCTAAGAGGGCGTTTTTCTTGTTCAAGTTCATAGACATATCTTCTTTGAGATGACTTCTCAAAACAAAATAAAACAAAACAAAAGCACACACACAAAAATAACAAAATGACTTCAAATTCAGGAATTTCAAACAAAGTCATTTTCTGCTTTTCTTTCCATCTTTTGCTTTTTCCGTTATCATCTGTTTTCTGAGTGTATTCATCTCAAAATGCAGTTTCATGGTGTATATTTTGTTTTAAAGAGTCTTTTTAAAATGCATATGACCAGCACTAAATGGACTCATCGGGTTGCATTTACATATTTACACTCACACGCACACTCACACTCCAGCTGTGTTTCTCCTTCAGTGCGCTGCAGGCAACTGTGACCCTATTTCCTGAACAATCCTCTCTCCTTTTCACGTGGACTTCTAGGAGTTTGCTTTTTCTTTATGTTGTTAGGGACTTAGCCAGAGACTTTAGCAGACTTCCTGTACCACTGGGTAACCTCCAGTGGCTTCCTCTTTTACCCCATTTAATCTACAGAGTTCAGTTTCTTAACAGAAGCCAATTAATAGAAACATCTTGTGGAGAAAAGTGAGCTCAAACCCCCTAACTCTGCAAGCATGTTGAGGCAAAGACCTCTGCCTACTTGTTGCTGTTTCCTCGGGATTGTAAAACTTCAGAAAATTCACTAGTCTAGTCACTGTAATCCCTTAGTAGCCTATGTTCTTGATGCAGCCAATCACAGCTATCACTCAAAAGAATTTTGGTTTATTATTTTGATGGCATAAAAAGAATGATAATTTTGTCTCTTGGAGCTATCTATTATTTATAGTTCCCCAATTTTCATCCGCCAGGCTTCCACATAAGCAAACATTTTAAAGGAGATCAACTGTATTTACTTTTCAGACCATGTGAATGAAAGAACAATATGCAATGGAATTGCCCCCGAAAAAGATGTAGATGGATTTCATATTATCAATATTGGAAGACTGTGCCTTGATCAGCATTCTCTGATACCCGCCACTGCCAGTGCTGTTTGGGAAATAATAAAAAGAGCAGGTTGGTAACGTGGGTCTGTGGGGAACTAGTACCAGCTGCAGGGGACCTTGCTTGGGTAGAGCTACCTCTGTCTACAAGCAACAAAGATGATGAGCATAAAACTGAAGTCTATAAAAATTCTATAAATTTATGAATGTCGCAGAACAAGGCAGAATAAAAGAAAATGAAATACACCAGGCAACTACAGTTATAGCTTATAGTGAGTGAACCTTTCAAATGTGGCCATCTTTTGATGAGAATCTTTCCCAAGTGTAGAATACTTTCCTACTAAGGTAATGTACCAATCATATAAGAACCATGTCTGTTGACTGAGGTTTTTAATGAAAGCACATAGGCTTCTACTGTGCTAGACGCATTCTGTTCTCACAGGTTGGCAGGTGCATTCATGGAGCTCTGTGGCTTTGCCTGTTGCTGATTTTCTTGTCCCCACCATGGTCACTTCTCTTTAGGAAACATCTTTTCCTTTATAATCTGCTGGTTTCTAACTGATAGACAAACTGTCTAAGAGAAAGCAGATTCTAGAGTCCCACACCTGCTGGTCTGTATGTACTTGGATGGACCTCAGTTCCGGTTTCTTCATTTTACCTGTGAAGAACTGATACCCCCGCAGTGCTGACCGTGAGTGTAACACTTCTTTCTGTGAAGTGTGTGAATATTCCACTTCATTATCCCAGTCTCACTAGAAGGCTGATTGCCATTTGTGCTTAATATTGTATGAACTTCTAGCGCAATTAGCAGTTCATGTATTTTAAGACTGCGCACTTCATGTGAAACTCAGCATTTAAAATGACTTTAATGGCAACTTGAGAATTTTTGTGGTTTTTAAATGAGGACATAATGAGAGAGGAAGTGACAAATCCAAGAAGTGTAAAAGGAAATATTTATAAATAATTCAGCAAGGGCATGCTACAGATAGGGTAGAAAATCCAAATTTAATTAAAAGTATTTAAAGAACATTTCAGTTGCCTTTTCATACGTTTAATTTGCTTCTTCTTGTTAGTCATGCTTTTAAACAAACTATTTTTTTAAGGAATTGAAACATTTGGGAAAAACGTGCTTGTCGCAGGAAGATCCAAGAACGTGGGCATGCCGATCGCCATGCTGCTGCACACGGATGGAGAGCATGAGCGCCCTGGAGGTGAGTGACCTGCAGGGCTCTGAGGTCAGAGGTTCCTTCTTATGCCAAGTAAAGACTCCTGACAGAGTGTGTCACGCTGCACACTTGTGGGTTCGTGCGGCTCATCTCACGATGTGAAAGCCCGGAAAGCACATAAAGGAATTGCTGATGTATTAGTTGCTTTCTGACTGCTGTGATGAAACACATGCCCGAAGCAACCTGTGGAAGAGCTTATTCGGGGCTTACAGTTTCAGAGGGCCAGGGTTCACGATGGTGGAATGGAGGTAGCAGGCGGCTGGAGCTAAGCGCTCTGTAACAGTAAGCAGGCGGTCGAAACAGGCCGAGGATGGCAGGAGGCTTTTGAAACCTCAAAGCCCAGTGGCACACATCTTCCAACAGGACCACACCCCCTAATCATTCCCAAACAGTTCCACCAACTGGAGACTAAGCCTCTCATGGCTGTTCTTTCTCAAACCAATGCTGCTGAAAATGTGGGACCCCTTCGGCCCATTTCTTTTGCTTTCTTTCTTCCTATTTCACTTATGGCTGTAAATACATTTTTTTAATCGAATAGCAATACAAACCTTAAGATAAAAACCGCTAGATAAAAGTTCACTACTTCAGAAAATTCTCAAAAATGTTAGAAGTTGAACATTGAGTTGTAAAATGGTTTAGCACACCACAAGCCATCTGGTTATTTCCCTAATAGGAGTGGACCCTGGGGCTTAGGACTCAAAGCTGATTGTCTGGGTTAGACAACTAAGTATTGCTCTGCAGTAAGAGTGACGACTCACTACGAAAGCCCAGTAAGTTGTGAAGGTGTCTGGGAAACGCACCACATTGTCCAGGTGCCTGCTGGCTCACCACCCTCCTAGGACCTCGGCGTTTTCAGCTGTCCCATAGTTGGGTGCTGAGCAGATCCACAATGAAGACTGGTGACCCGATAGGAGGGACATTTTACAAAGGACAAGGGGCACTGTTCACCGTGTCTGAGCCAATGCTGTGGCAGGGGACAAGATGTTACCCAGACCAAGTTCATGGTTTCAGTAGAAATGGCTGTTGGTCTGTGTGCGCCATGGATGTTCACTGGGACCTTCACTGATCATCTTTTCTAATTACTGCATTTTGCCTTATTTTCTATGCTGTAAGCACAGCATAGAGGGGGGCTACTTTTGTTAAATGCCAACACATGTACACACTCATACATAGATATACAGAGATTTCTACAAATTTATTACCAATCCTGTTGAAGCCCAGCTCCCTGAGTTCAGTTTTGCTTGTTTGCTTTTTAGCAGGTCCTTTTTAGGGTCTTCACTATGATAATATATATGAAGGGATTTTCAAAACACAAAGTCCTTCCATGCTCCTCACTGACCCCCCAACCCACCCCCTACCCACCCACTCCCCAAGGATAGTGAGGCCTTCCACAGGGCATCATCAATGGGAAGATGGGAGTTTGAGGGAATGGGGGGATTGAGATATAAAATAAGATTATTTCTAAAATAAAAAATAAAAAACAAAACAAAACACAAAGTCCTATGGACTTGCCTAAAGCAATGGCCAGACATGGTGGCACACACCTTTAGTCCCATCTCTCAAAGCAGAGGCAGGCAGACCCCCCTAAGTTCAAGGTCAGCTTGGTCTACGTAATGAGTTCTAGGCCAGACAGAGCTACTTAATGAGACACTGTCTCAAAAAAAAAAAAAGATGGGGATGGCTTTTGACTATTATTTTCTGTTCTAAGAGTCTAACTGTCATAAGAAACCAATGCGTGTGTATGGATCAGAGTGAGTCGGACTCAGTGGTGACTCCAGGCACTTGTGAGTGCACCCATCTTCCAAGGCATTAGTCCTGGCTTCACTCTTCCCTTCCAGATCCCTGCTTCACTCTTCCCTTCCAGATCCCTCTTTTGTTTAACCGTTCTCTCAGCTGCAGAATATTGGTTCCTCTGGCCTTCGTGTAGTAGTTTTATGTTAATGCAGGTAAAACAGCAGACATTTTACAAGAATTACTCTTTTTGTGGAAAATTTTGATCAAGAGCAAGTCTTTTATTTTCAACTGTCAGTTTTCTTGTCTCATTAGTGACCCACCAACTGTCATTATGGGCCCCATGTTTTGATGAGCACTGTCTAGCCAGTTTTCAGCAATTTTGGTTGAATTAATTACTGTTACCATTTTAGAGACAAAGCCGGTAAGGCTTTTGAGGGTTTCGAGGAAGTGAAAGCCCCAGGACTGGGAGGTGGGGGTTGAGCATCTGCCATGGTTAGGTGCATTGGTCAAGATACAGACTCATTGCCGATCCTGTGCGCTTCAACAGGCGACTGCCCCTTGTAGACTTTACTTTTCTAGTCTGTAGGAAATGCATAGCATTGGTATCTCTCTTACTTAGCTATTGTGAAAATTCAATGAAGTAGAGGTTTTTACAAAGCACTAGTTACAATGTGTTGGAGATGTTACTGCCTGGCACACAGTAGGTTAAATGAGTTACTACATGTTGCCATCACAGCTGTTGTTGTTTCAATTATTTTTAAGTTAATAATCTGTTACACACCACTTACATGTTTCCAGGAAAGTGCCCTGAGGTTAATAATGATTTTTCCTTGGCTTTAATTTGAAATTTAGTTCCTTTTCCTGTTGAGCTTTATTTTTGCTTTTAAATCATATTTACTTTTGTTTATGAAGGCTTACAAAGCCATGATTAGGTATTTGTTACCATAATACTCTAGCACTGCTTGACAACATGCTTTTTCTTGTAGACTTCAGTGTGTTACATGCTAATTTCGTGTCACATTTCAATTATGAGTTATTGATAAACTACCTTAGAAAATCTGTCCCCTTTTAATGCAGTTTTAGACTATATAATACTATGCTATAAATAATGCCTTACATATTTTAGCATATGTGGTTATTTATAGATACATACATATGTAGTAAAATATCAAAATAAATGCAAATTGATGGTGGTAATGATTTTTAAGGAAAGAATTATGAGGTTAAAACTGATTACTTAGAAAACATTTAAAATTTTCTTCAATAAAATTTCTCCCCCTTAGTGAATACTAAAATGGAATACATGTAGAATGGGTTATAATGTTGCTTACAAACTGGTTGATTAAATTTACCCTTATTATAGTGGCACCTTCCGTTATAATTACTGTGTCTAAAAGGTAACATATTGTACTAAAAATGATATTGAAGGTTTGCCACATGGGTGGTGTCTAATTACATACACATTTAGTACGATCATGGTGACATATATTATTAATATAATGAACTGTGGCAAGCAGCTTACTGAATATTTGGAGTCTGTGGGAAAGTTAATGTTTGGATGTCTTTGCCTGGCAGAGCAGTAATTACATGCATTGTTAACTAATGAAGATAATGAAGGTGGATTAACTGCAAATTCATATCTAAAGAACTTGCTCTAATGACACAATGTTGAGTATTTGGCTCACACTGTGTATTGTTTTGCTAGGAGACACTCAGAGCCTAATAATTCATTTTTTAATCTCAAAGACAAAAATAGTTTCACTAAAAGGCAAAGGCAGCCATACTGTCATTTAGTTTAATGTGTGTTCCCTGCTCACTTTAAGTTTTGATATCAAGAGCATGAAGCTCCATCATGATCTTGACCTCCCTTGCTCATATATTCTCTCCTTCCTCTCTTTGACTGGATACTGTGGTGCTTGGTTATGGATTTCTGTGTCTGGTTCCATCAATTACTGGATGAAGGCTCTATGATGATAGTTTGGGTAGTAGCCAGTCTGAATACAGGGGAAGACCATTTTAGGCATCCTCTCCACTATTGCTAGAAGTCTTATCTGGGGTCATCCTTGAGGATTCTTGGACTATCAGAGGGGCTCTGGCAGTAGGACCACGATATAAATCTGGTACATGAGCTGACTTGTTGGAGCCCATTCCCTATGGTAGGAAGCCATGCTCAGCCTTAATACATGGGACAGGGGCCTGGGCCTGGCCCAACCTATTGTGTCAGACTGTATTGACTCCTCAGGAGAGCCCTTACCAGTGAGGGGGAGTGAACTTGGGGTAGACTGGGAAGGAGTCGAGGTGGGGTGGGAGTGAGAACTGTTTGGAATATAAAATGAAATTTAAAAGAATGAATACAACACACACACACACACACACACACACACACACACACACACACACCAAAGAGCACACATTTTGGATATTTGTAAGAAAAATCTTTTAGTTTACTAGGGGCTTGACACATTCAAGATAGAGAATGTGAGTAAGTAAATCTCTAAGTGCAAAGACTAAACCATTGCCACCTCACCTCAAAGGCTGCACTCCCTAAACCCCAGCATTGCGCAGAAGCAGGGATGGGGCCACAGTCCCTGCAAGGGTTGTGGAGGAGGTCAGCCACCACAGAGGTCCTTACTGGAGAGACTGACTCTCTCCTCCTTGACAGTCTTGGTGGAAGCCAGTGATAAAGGGTACATAGCATGAGAGTATAGGAATTTATCAACATTCAGTGAAAAGCAAACATGCTGCTACTTAGGGCAGCCCAGGTTTGGGTAAAGTGACATCACCAGATAATAGTAAAAAGTTGCTTCTTGTGAAACAGCAATTCCTACAATGTTTAAGGACCATTGTGACTATTGAGATGCTATAGAGCATTCCCTTTTTTCCCAGATATAACTTTTTATTGATTCTTTGTTGATTTCACGTAGTGCATCTCAATCCCACTCATCTTCTTCTTCCTTCCCATCCACCCTCTACCCTTGCAGTTGCTCTGCTCCTAGGATAAAACAAAATAATAATTAAAAGAAAAGACATAAAAAGAAAAGAAAAATCTCGTTGTGGAAGCTGTAGTGTGACACAGTCACACCGCCCTTTAGACTATTCATTGCACTTGAGGTCTCTGGGTTTTGCTACATCATCAATACTGGGCCCTCACTGGGGCTCCTCTTGGATATCCTGTTGTTGTTCTGTGTCAGGGAGATCCTGTAACTTTGTGTCTGAAGGACCAGCCCCTTCTAGTGGAGAGCTGTCCCTGA